GTCTCTCTCTCTCTTTCTCAATCTCTCTCTGGGTCTCTCTCTCACTCTCTTTAAATAAGGGGAAGGCATTCAGACATTTCAAAAGAGTGGGCATGACTCTTATAAAGCACTTTGGCATTTACTCTAAAGAAAATGTTTGAGGGTTTGTTTGTTTGGCACCGTTTAAGTAGCCAGATTTTGGCATGCCAAATTAGAGAGTGCTGCTTTCCTCCATATTCGGGATTAGCATTACTCTGTGAAATGATCTTTTAAGCAGTGTGCGCTTATGCCCAACCATGCCGGGGCCTCTTCCCAGATGGTCTGCACAGATCCAAACCCGTGCTCACGGCGGCCTTAACGGTAAACAGTGGATGGAACATTTCCACACGCCTGTATGAGAAGCATCTCCTTTGACATAAGGCATAGTCCACTCTCCCTGCGTTGCCCCCTTCCCTATGCCAGCCAGGCCTGGGACCCTCTCCCTGACCGTTCTGCTATCCCTGCCATTCATTCAGCAGAACTTAGACCCCACGGCCACCGGCTGCTGAGGCTGTGGACTCCCTATGGCAGCTTAAGTTTCAGAATCAGGGAGCCTTTCTCCTTCCCCACAAAATGACATCCAGAACGTTTCCTGTTCTCTTTCTATTTTGTTTTCAAACGTTGCCAAAATGAATTTGATTTTAAAAGGCCCAGCTATTTTGGAAACATTGAAGTACCAAGGTGTTTCTGAATGTTTATGATTGTGGCACAAGCCAATTTGAAACTAAATGAATGTGTATAAAAATATTCCCTCTTGGCTAAGAACATAAAAGCCAAAGTTCAACTTGTGGTGAATTTTTATTGCCCAGTTATATACACCTCCCTGGCCAGGGGTCGGTCATGAGATGTTCTACACCATCTGACCTCAAGGTGGCTCCGCCCGTCCCCTTCGCGGGGCGAGAGGGGACAGTGATCTTTCATGGGTGTTTTTAGGGCATCTGGGTGCTTCAGCAGAAGAAAGTTCGCTTTCTCTAGCGTAGCTCCGCAGACTCACCTCCAGTCGTGTTTTTACTAGGAAAGCTGGAAACTATAAAACTGTAACAACAACGCAAAAAATATATTAAAGGAGAGAAAAACAAGCAACGGTGCCAGAACCTATAAAGTGCTTCGGCGACTGGGGGGGAGCAAGGAGCCACTTTTTGATGTTCAGTATTTATACAGCTGCCTTATTTAGTGGTAAGAATTCAGAGCAGCTGGGGCACCTCTAAAACAGGAAACGACCGGCTCGCTGTAGTATTGCTATTTAAATGCCTTTTATGTTTTAATCACTCTCCATACAGGAATGTAGAATCCTGAAGAATTTTTCCTCCTTGAGGGCCATCGTTTCGGCGCTGCAGTCCAATTCCATCTATCGGTTAAAGAAGACATGGGCCGCTGTCCCAAAGTAAGTTCCCAAATGTCTGCTCCACTTTCTTTGGCTGGGGTGGTTGGTTGCAGCCTGAATGGCGTGGGCCCTCACCTTCAAAGCTCATATTATGTAAGGAGAGAAACATATTCGAGAGCCTCTGTGTGCTCCTGGCAGGGTGCGTTGGACGCATCATCATTAATGAATTTGAGGCAGGGCCGCTGCCGAAATCACTCGTATTCTCCAAGTGTGCCAGAGCCAAGTCGTGCGTGGCTGTAGGGACCATTCTAAGGATGTGTTATCATCTGGATAAGGGATAAGGTTGTGGAATGATGAAGTCACAGCCATTTGCCGTTATTTGTGGTTATTTTTCAGCCCCGATCCAAAGCCCTAGCTGTTCCAAGATGTGAGGGAAAAAGTGTGCAGACAGGAGGACATTGCTCTCTCTGCTCAAGACTCCATTCAGTTAGTCTCCGCTTTTGCATACGAAAAGCTGCCTTAGTGGTGTTCACCACCCCTAGCTGTTCCTTCCTATTGTTTTTCTTCATATTTCTTGGTGCAGCCTTTGGAATAATGAACAATTTAATATCCTTGTTATTTCACGATCTCTCTGTCTTCCCCATGTCCAGAGCTTCACTGGTAGACCAGAGAACTTCTGCAAAGGAGGGAGGGGTGAGAGAGAAGGCAGTCGTGGACCCGTTAGCGGTACAGATTTAGACGCTGGGAGACGGGTCCTGGCTGCAGGCTGGGTCAGCTGCATTCAGCAGGTCCGCCTAGGTTTGAGCTAATCCAGAAGTCAGGCTGTATCGGAAGAATATGAAACTGTTTAGAGTCTATACTGTGTACAGGGTAGTCGATTTTGGTCAGGAGAGAGGCCAGCTGGCTCCCTAGGCAGGCTCGCTCTTGTGGAATTGGTGGATTTGGTCCTCAGAGTAGGTCCAGTACTGAGTTTCATCAATTCACTCAGAGCTGATTAAGCCCAAAGGAACTGACACTATCCAAACCTGCAAGTACCATAGATTTATGCTAAAAGTGAGTGCCAAAGTACTCAAGGTTACTGATGAGCTCATAGTCCCAATCAGAGGAGTCTGCTTGGGAGAAGTCAAGTTGTTTATTATATAATTCTTTGATGGCTACAGAGAAGACAATTGAAGTGGGCGACCTTAATGCCAGGTGCTACAGAGCTGTGGAAACCGCGGCCACTCGGACTCCAAGGCTCACGCTCTGTTTATGATGTGTTATCTATCAGCAGAAACACTGGCAGACGGACTTTTCAAAGTCCAAAGCAATTTTCTTAATGGCCTCTCAGCGCTCCAGTTCTTTCTTCTCTTCATTAGTTTGAATAATCAAGGTGACTCTGTGGGAAAGAGACATTAGCTGATTGATTTTCCTCTGCACATAAGTGTTATGAAAGATATGGGTGCTATAAAATTATTAGATAATAGGTCATGGGGAACAGATGGGGAAATTGGATGTGTACAGAATTCTCATCCTCAGCACCCCAGCTCCAGCTCCTTCTCCTTATCACTGCTCCCCAACTGTGGTATCAAAGCAGAGGGATGGTCAGGTGCTACAATGCAGCCTGGCCTGATTGCAGTCCAGGGTAATCCTACCTTTCTTTGGTGGTTGATACATAGACCACTATGAAAAGCCACTTAGCCAACCAATCTGAGGCTAAAACACAAGTAAAAAAATTAGTGGACTTGTATCTTAATCTCCTTGGTTACCATGTGAGAAAGTCCATTCTTCCAGCTGACTTTTTTAACTATTAAAGAAAACAACACCCACAAAATAAACCTCAGAGATGCATTTTGTACAACATGGGGGTCTTTTGGTTTCTCAGTTGGGTGGTTGGTTCATGTTTTAGCAGGGATGCCACAGGAGTGTCACAGTTCCTCAGAGAAGACCCTTCCATGTCAGCCTTACATATTTCCCACTGCTAAATTCAAGGGACAGGGGTAAGGTAGCTTGCTTGGTTATCATTTTCTCTGTAACCCTTTATGCTAATAACTTTCGGTAGACAGAGAAGATATCTATTTATTTCTCTTTATTTAGCCCAACACATAATCAATTTCTTAATTATTTTTCCAAAATATAAATAGCTTTCATGGTTTGCTTAATTATGAGAGCAATATTACCCTTGTTGTGAAACAAGTAAGTTCCTAATAATGGCTTTCTCATGATAATGAAAATGCTTTATATGGTATGAATGATATTGCCCCTGTTCATTCTTGGCCTTCAGAATTATCCACTCAGCAACCCTGGAGGGGTGCGTAGAGAAAAGCATGATGCCCATGGAGATGTAGTGAACTAGAAAGGCACAAGGACAGAGTAGGCTCTTTACACATGTGATTCTGCTCACTTCACAGCAGTCCTGCAGAAGACTGTTGGTATTTCCTTTGGACAGATAAGAAAATTGAAGCTCAGGAAAGATAAGCATCTTGTCCAAAGTCACTTGGCGATTGAATGGTGGAGTTGGGAGTTGAACCCACCTCCTCTGACTCCTGAGTCCATCCTGATTCCGCCATCTACTCTGCCTCTGAGAGTAGGAACACTAGCCCATGATTCAGGAAATTTGGGTTCCGTACCTGCAATGCTCAGCAGTTATTAGTGGAAACCTGGGCAAACCCCTGACCCTGGCATCTCCATCCCTAAAACGAGGGGTCTGGCAAAGATGATTTCTCAGGTCCATTGGGCTACGTGTGTTGCCAAGATAGATTTTTTAAAAAAATATATCTTTATTGATTTCAGAGAGGAAAGGAGAGGGAGAGAGAGAGATAGAAACACCAATGATGAGAAAGTCATTGATCGAGCCCGCAACCCGGGCATGTGTCCTGACCGGGAATCGAACCCCGATCGCCTGGATCCCAGGTCGACGCTCAACCGCTGAGCCACGCCCGGCCGGGCAAGATAGAGTTTTTAAAAATTTGCTGAAGAGAACTTGTCCCAATTGAACAACTTAGTTCCCCAATTTAACAATCTGTTTTTATGATTATAAAAAACATGGTTAGAAAATATTCCTCTCTTCACACAGGTGATCATATCTACTTAAAAAAAAAAAAGCCACCCTGCATGAAAAAGTCCTTGGTTTCATCTGCTCACATCACTCACGGATCCTGAGATCAGGATGATCCCTCCATAGCCATAGGTGCTGAGGGCAGCTGGGCCGAAGGCGTAGGTTTTCCTAACTTCATTTGTTAATATTTTCTTAATCCCTCTTCCAGAGAGCGAATGCTGATGTTTGAAGAGCTTTCAGACATCTTCTCGGACCATAATAACCATTTGACCAGCCGGGAACTACTGATGAAGGTGAGGCCCTGGGTGTGGGCGCGGGCAGCACCCTTGACAGCTCTGGGATCCATTCAGGGGAACCGTGGCTTGTGGGGGGCTCCTTAAATTCCTGCAGTCCCGTGAGAAAGCTTCAGGCAACTAGAAGGCAGACTTTCTGTTTTTTTAATGCCTAATCTAAGAAGCTTGGGGCTGAGAAAATTCAAAGTCCGGCTCCTTGGCTTCACTGTTATGCAACCAGATTGTGAAACTTGTGCTCATGTGTGTCTCTCTTTGACAAGTGGCTCCGCAAATACCAAGTACTGGCAGTTAGGTGGGTAAGAGGCCCCGGGATATTTCTTCTCAGCAAAACATCTCCTAGAGTGACAGAGGCCGCGCCAGCAATTCCACATCCTTTATTTGGACTAAGTTGCACAATCTGTCAGTCAGCAGTATTTATTGAATGCCAAAGGAGTGCCGACTTCTGAACCTCAGGCAGGGTAAAGGTATAGCTGCTTTGTTTCATTGCTCCAGGCGTTTGTTGCCGACCTAACACTTGTAAGCATTGGCCCAGTCTCACGGAATATGAAGGTGGCTAACGCAGATCCCATTTTCAAGAGTTCGTCTTCTGGTTGGTGGATAAAGACACTAAGTGAGACTGAGTCAATGGTACAAATGACCGTTTGTGAACATTCATCAGAGGTGAACATAGAGCAGACACTGTCCTCATGGCCTTTCTATAAAGTAGATCTTAGTTAATATTCTCGTTTTGCAGGTAGTCAAGACTCAGGTAGGTAACATGCCCTAAGTCACACACCTGGAAGGTGGTAGAGCTAGAATGTGTGATACAGCCTGGTTGGACTCTAAAACCTGTGCTTTCATCACTTAGGCAGAAAACTGTTTCTTCTGACCCCCTTGGGAGTAGGGGACAGGGCAGATCAGGGACAGCTTCCTAGGGAAGCAAAACCAGTAATTCAGCAGATATTGAGCATTCACTATGTAGTCAACCGCATTGAAGGCAGGCTCTGGTCTTAAGGAGATTACAGCCTCATGGGGGAGGGAGAGAAGTGGACAATTCCAAAATCATAGGAGATGTGCCACTGTAGGGGGAAGCCCTGAGCTGGGCGATTGGAGGACAGGGTCCTTGTCCTCAGTCCCTTTTCTGGAAACTGGAGACAATAATAGCATTTAGTCCACTGACCTCGTGGAAGGGTTTTAAAGATTGACTAAGATAAAATATTTGAAAGCACTATGCAAATGTAAGTTATTTTTAGTATTTGACAAGCTCTATACATATGAAACCAAAGTATGCGTGACAAATGAACATGAATGAAGTGTAGGCTACACATGGGACCTTAGGGCAGACACTTGGAATAGGAGTGAAAGTCAAGTGGGACTGGGGAGACTAAGAAAAGGCATCCAGTGGTCAATGGTTAGATTAGTCCTTCCTCAAAGTCTAAGGGCCTCTGTTAGGGTTTTCCTGACTGTCGTCCTTCTAAGTCCTACTCCTCCTTCATGTTTCTCTGTAGAGTCTCCTTCTTCTGGAAGCCTTCCTGGACACCCTCAGGTCTGATTCGGTTGCCTGCATGTGCTCCAGAGGAAGTCCATCTTCCTCTGACCTAGCACTCCTCCTGTGCTCCATTGGAATTGCCTGTGTACTGCACCCATCTCCCTACTGTCCCTCAAGCCTCTTTCAGGCAGGGACCGGGCTTATCTCGTTCGTGTTAGATCCCTAATGCCTAACACAGTGCCTGGCATGTAGCAGGTGTTCAGAAACTGTTTGACTGCATGGATTGATGGGGCTTATAATTCACATGGCTTTGACAACTTGCCCACTATTAGCCCTTCTTGGGGAAGATGGTATGAGCAGGGCAGTTTATGCTGACTTCTGACGTTGGATTTGGCCTACCTGCTTAACTGCGCACTAAACAAGGACCGCTGAGATCACATCACTACTCCCCGCTTTACATCCCCCTGGGTTTACAGACTTGAAATGGAAACTCATCTGGCTGGAAGGAGATGGCTTCGTGGTCTCCCTGTCAGTAATAGGAAGCTAGACTAGCTGGAGCCATACATTCAAGGCGCAATAGCTCTGAGTCATCTTTCAGAGGAGATAAATTGAATAGTGTGCAGCTCATTGCCTGGTGACAGGCTTCTGGCTGAAACCTTAGAAGCAAAGCTATATCTAGACATTAAAGGTCCCATAAACCTTTCTTAGCAGTAGAAGTTTACGTAGTGCTCTCAGTTAAATGAAAAACTTGGCTATGAATTCGTGTAGTCTGTGCATTGTCATTAATGATAGTGGAATGTTTGGGCCAGTGCATATGTACACGTAGGTCTCTTACTAGTCATCTTTGTTGACCATTCTTTAATATGAAATATATAATTCTGGGTTTAATCCTCAGCACAGTTGTGAAAAATGAATTCAAGGTATTTAGTTTCTCAAAAGAACAACCTGGACTTAGACTGATTTGTGGTTGCGTAATCTTAGCCTTAAATGGCCTCTCTTCTCTTCTACTTCTGGGTAGATGTAATGTGCCAACTCTATAATATTATGGCTGAGGGAACATAATAATTAGCAAGAATCTATGGTTTTTCTTTTGTTGGGAAAATGTTTTTATTTTCCTCAAAAATTATCTTGAACCTGTTATGGTTCAAGATAATTTATGATTTCTAGAACTTAGGTAATTCTAAGCAGGTAAATGATAGAATCCATAAATTTCACAACAACAGGGAAGCAGAACATCACCAATCTCTCCGGTTCTTGGGACCCTTGCTGAGAATTCTTCCTGGTTGAATTGACTTCTAGGAAGGCTCAAGAATTTGGCTGTGGTACAGATGTATTGTCAGTGCAGCCCCAAAACACACAGCATCAGAGTTGGAGCAGGAGATTGTTAGGACTATGAAGACCTACTCAAATAATTGCCATGGGCTTTCAAGCTATAATTTAATCTACATTTATTGAGAAGGGTCCCATGCCTGTGTAGCACCCTAGTAGAAGAGGCCCCTCTGACCGAGGAATAGATGGATGAGGGCAGCTCAGCTCTGTTAAAGGTGGAGAGAGGAGGTGAGACTCAGGTGAGAAATTTGCACTAGAGAGAGGGAGAGATGAGAGTGGGAGGTGGTGGGAAGTTTATGGAGGGAGAGATTTGGAATCCATCCAAACATAGGTGATGATTAAGGTCTTGGGACTGGATAGTATTTGCCAAGATGTGAGTATAGTGAAAAACAAGAAGACGGCTTCGGCAGAAAGAAGAATCGCTGAGAAAGTGTGAGCACAGCAGCAAAGAGGCGGGAGGAAAGAACCGGAGTGGTGCAATCACAAAACCTGTCAAAAGCTTCAAGTATTGAGGGACTGGTGTGAGATGATGCAGAGCAGAGGATTTAGGGCGAAAGAAACTGAAACTGTGGGCTGAAAGAAACTGAGGGAGAAAGAAACTGAAACTGTGGGCTGTGCAAATCATGGAGTTTTCAGGGGATACCTCGTCTGGAAGAACTGCACTAGTCAGCTCTCCAGCCAGGGCGGGACTCTTCTCATGAAGTCAGGAAATCAGCGTGACTTCTAGCTCCCATCTCAGGTCCTTGTCTCTCCACCAGTGAGGAGGTTGTCCTAAGTGCTCTTTCATGGTCCCTCCCTCCTGTTATTCTGTGATTCCCAAGGGCCTTTTAACTTTTCCAAAATCCTTCGTAAGAGCTTTAAATGTATCTGCAATAATTTCCATCCATTATTCCTCTGCCAATGATTAAGAAAGTGGAAGGGAGCCAGAAAGACCTACACACCAGGAGAGATGGCCACTCTTAGTAAAGTCACACAGAATTGGTTTCGCACTCCAAGAAAATGCTCAAGAATTTGGGAGGACTCCCAGCCTCCCAGCCTCCCAGCCTCCCAGCCTCCCAGCCTCCCAGCCTCCCAGCCTCCCAGCCTCCCAGCCTCCCAGCCTCCCAGCATGGGAAGTGGCACATGTTAGGCCACTTTCATTCATCCCCAGGAAAAACTCTAAGTAGGAGATTATTAAATGATAGTGCGCCCGATGATCACAGGGAGATTAGAATGGACAGTGAGTCACTGTGGGTTGTGTCCCCAGCGGTGTACCTGGGCCTGGGCTAAGGCTGGTGAGTGAGGAAGATAATCAGCGCCTCCCTGCCCCCGAGAACCCTTCCAGCTGCCCAGCAGTGAGGTCCCTGCTGGGGAAATGCAGCAAACCCAGGGAAACTGACCCAGGGAAACGAGTGAGGTTACTCGCTACCGAATTGTGCAATTCGCCTCCATTCATAAGGTTCCTGGAAAATGAGAACTTAACAAGACTGAAACCACAAAACGGAAAACACTTTATGTTCGGTCAGCAAACTCAAGATTAGTCATTACGTAGAAGAGTTTGAAAGAGTTTGTTGTTACAGCAGGCGGGGGAGGGCAGGCACAGCCATCTGTCCTCAGGCGCCCGGAGGGAGGGAG